TTTTTTTAATTTTCTTGCCAACTCAGGCCTCTAACGTATTTTTTCGTAGGGATGCAAGTAAAATCGACAAAAATTGGCCAAAACCGATCAGGCTGAGGCGAACCGCCGCCATGGATGCTAGAGCCAGCGTTGGAGCACGGTGGTGCTGCTATACCGGAATCTTAAAATTGGCCGAAAAGGATTTTCAACACCGATTTTAGATTTTTTGAGGTATTTTTAGGTACATAACGAGTATTTTGATTTTCGCAGAGAAAATTCAAGAAATTTGGGATCTGTTAGGAGACGTAATAGATAGTATGGTGTTTCAAAATATTGATCCAAGTAAAAATCTCTCACCATATTTCATGTTACGGTAAATTGAGACTTAATAATCAATAATGTTGTGCTTTGTAAAAAATTAAAAAAATCCTAAAAATAATTACAAGTCATTAGTAGAACCAAAATCGGTCAGTTTATATTTGCTCTAATTTGTCTATGTTGCCTATTCATTTTCCTATGCTGTTTAAATTGATTATTATTCTGCCATGTGCCTTAATTATTATTTTAATTATTTTTTCGTTTATTGACTACCTAATCATTACTTTCTTGATCCGATTAACTGATTGAAAATAAAGGTTATGAGTACATTTCTTGGTTATTGAGGTATGAAATTGTACTGTTTGCATAAAAACTATTTAATTAATCTTTGAATATAAAAAGAGATATTGATATGCGCTTTATGGTTATTTTGTTAATGAGGATTTTATGTAAAAGACTTACCGAGTATCCTGGAAAAGGATGAACATGCCCTGTACATAAAGAATCCTACTGTGAACGTTACCTCAGTCGAACGAGGCTGGAAAGTCTCATACTAGAAAGATTTGGGAGATATGGTTCACCATCATACCGGACGGAGTATCAAAGCGATGGAATGTTTGGTGTCCATTACCGGACGGAGTATGAGGATAGCCGATTAATTAATAAATCTGAATATTGGGTTCGTGTATGGATGAGAACATCCCTATGGACCCCTAGGGGTACTAGTAAATAGGTTAAAAATGAATAATTACTAATCTTATACGTAAAATTAAAATGTCATTTGGTTATTGTTCTTCATATATTGAGTTTTGAAAAACTTATAACGGTAAGTATGAAATAAACGATTTTCTTTATGATAAATGAATTTACTTAAATTAAGAGCTCAATTAGTTATTTTTATAATTTTTACCAACATTTGATTTTCCTTATCAATGATTAGTGTAATATTCTTACTGAATTAGTGTAACTCACTCTTCTATTAACCATTTTAGATCAGGAGGATCAAAATCCAGATCCTGATTAGTAAGAAAGTTGTGAGTAGTTAACCCTAGGATATTTATCTATTTATTTTAAGCTATTGATTTGTTTCTTTTTACGAATCGTTGTAGTAGGGACATTCTCGTAACCCTATTGAGAATTCTAATTTAATTTGTAAGAAATGTAAACTTTAATATTATTGCTCGCTTCCGCATTTAAAAATACAAATTCATTTACTTTGAGTTTCAGTCCTCTACATAATTTTTTGTTTTTAGGAGACAAATCTCCTCTTCACTTACATACATGAACACTAACACTATATTGAAAACACAATGGATATAGAGGAGAGGAGCTTGAAGAGAGAGAGTCTGCAAGGAGTAAAGAAAAACCACGAGTAGATAAAGAGATGCACCCACTACAAAAGCAAGCTAGAGGATGCTTGAGAAGAGAGACATTTATAAAAGCTTGAGGAGAGAAAGATGCATCCATTAGTTAATAAAGCTTGAGGATAAAAAGTGTGTGAGGAATTTCAAGAATCATGAGCAGGGAGAGAGATGCACCCATTATAAAAACAAGCTAGAACATGCTTGAAGAAGGATATAGATGCTTACTGAAGCTTGAGGAGAAAAAGATGTGTTGACTGATTAAGAGAGCTTGATGAGAGAGAGATGCAAATTTTGATTTATTTGATGAGGGAAAAGCTTGCCAAAATGGAGGTTACAGGTTTTTGTTTTTTGTTTCGAATATGAGGTTAATTTATGTGTACGTTGTGTGAAGAGGAGACTTATCTCTTAAAAATAGTTCATAATGATCACGTGGAGAAACAAATTACGTCATCAACAAGTAACCAATCAATGTCACATGAGCAGAATACATAATGTTGATTAATAATAAATATTTAAATAACTTGAATTGTACATATTTTTAATAAAAAAAAAAAGTTTAAGAATTCAAAAATAAAAGTACAAATAGTACAGGGATTAGTAAAAATTCAAATTTTTGGGGATCTATCAAAAAATTTTGTAAATAATATTTTTCCGAGATTAGTAGTGAGAACCTAACTTTAAAAATTAGATATTTATTCATACTTAAAAGTTATCTTAAAATTTTAAAATTAAACTTGAAGAAACAAATATGTATCTAGATTTTGTTATTCTAAAATTATGTTTTACTAAATGAATAAAATATGTATATATATATATATATACACGCATGGGGTTAGGTATTATTGGTAGGGGCATTACACGGCATGAATTAGAAAAAGAAGAGACCACCACCTCCACTGTTTTTCTTTTCAGTGTTGTATTAATGGATTAGACGCGCTAAGTAGGTTGGAGGTGCAATTTGAAATGTAATTATTACATTGTTAATCTACGTACTGAACAATTACACTTGCACCAGTAGGAGTTGATAAGACCATCCTCTTCTTCCTCCTCCTCCTCCTCCTCCTCGCAGTAGAATCCATTAGAAGTTTGTACGTCTTCACACAAAGTCAACAAATCTATAAATACAGAAGATTCGTATACATCCATCTCCACGATTACTGTATCTCACAGGGTTGGAATGATTAAGCTCTTGCTAGTTGGGTTTCATTGATTTCATCACAATCATTATCTGAAAACAAATTCAATCGAAATATAAATTTTGTGTATAATTAATTAAGCATATTAAGGATTTCGTCTATTATTTAAATTATATTTTTATATTTAAAAGAATTTAAAGAATAAAATATCAATTATACTATATTATTTAAATTAAGTAATAATTTTTGAACTAATAATATTATGTAAAAATAATAAATAACTATATTTCATCTTCAGTTTCAAGAGAATATCACTCGTTGTTACAAACAATAATCAGCCTATCTTCCTCTGCAACTATTTTAGGGCCTTGTTTAATATCTTTGTTAGAGAAAGCTCATAGGCCCATTAGACTCTATAAAAAAAGACAGAAACAAATTTTTTTCAGAGAGAAAATGAAAGATTCATAAATATATATGTGTGTGTGTGCATAAACATATGTATTGTATTTGAAATAAAAATAATATTTAGAAAATAACAGTGTACAATTGACATAAGCTTAGGCAAAAAATTATTTCCAATTGTTTTATCCAGTCCAGAAAAATAAATAATTATTAGTTAATTATTGGCTTGAGAGAAGTAGTGCTATTATTTCGCAAGACTTATGGCTTATTTTATAATTTAGTATAAATTGTTAAGTCTTTTTATAATTATTAAACATTTATTTTTTAATATAATTGAAAATTTGAAACATTTAATTAAATCAAAGAATATGTACATATTAATAAATTTATTCTCAAATTCCTAGTTTACGCTGTCAATGGAGATAGACATTAAAATTTGTTAGAAATATATTTTTTTTTTTTGCACTTACACTATAGAGTTAAATATAATTTTAAGTCTTATTATACGCATATAATATGATATAACATTAATAATTATGATATTTAATTTAATTTTTATCAATACTGAATGAATTTATCTTAAATGTTAATCGAAAAAAGATTTTGATATTATTTTCTAATTATGTTTTTTTTTTTTTTATACTTAATCTATTTTGTTGTTTGATTCAAATAGTTTTTGTTTTTGATTATTTATTGATGTAGGACTCATTTTATTTTATATAGGAAATAGGGATTATTTTTATTTACAAAATCAAAATATATTATGTAAATTTTTTTATTTTGATTTGAAAATCACAATATTTAAGAAATTTAATTTTTTTATGAGATATAAATATCATTCTGGATCATGTGGGATGATAAGAAGAACACGTATTTACTAATAAATATACAGCGAATAATTCTATGATTTGTTTTAAAAGTTTTTTTAACTATAAATGAAATACAGAATCTGGACGTTATGCAAAGAACCGCAGATCCTTAGTCATTACGTTTCGGGGGGAGTCGCTTCTACGGTTGTACCATAACGCAGCTAAATCTAACTCTTTTGACTTTTTTTTGTCAAACTTCATGGTACAATACCTATATGCGTCTTTCCGGAAAGTTTTATTTTTTTTTTTTTCTTTTTTCGACTTGATCTTCATCTTTCCCGAAAGCCAACTGCTAGAGAGCTTAAAAAAAGAAGAGAAAAGAAAAGAAAAGATACAGCAGCGAAAAAGTCGAGATTAGGAGAAAACTTCAATCCTAAGTTTTCTCGCCAACCAAATAAAAGCTCTTCACTGCACCCATTCTCTACCGCCCTGGCTTCGTTTTCTTCATCAGGCTGTTTCAGGAAGAAGAAAAGGTAACTCACTTTGTGGATACTCGAATGCTCTGTGTAGATCTGATGTTCATTATACTATGCATTGTGTTTGTTGTTTCCTATATGACTCAGAATTAGGAAATCCTTTACTCAGTTTTAATTGAGGATCTATGGCCAATGTTGTGCTTTTCTAGTCTAATATAACAATGGGTAGCGTCAGAATCGGCTTCAGTTCTTCTCTTTTATGATGAATCGAGGCCTTGGCGGTTGGTGGTTTCGAATGTTTGCTAGTTTTGCTTCGAATTCTGGTGAATGTGTTATTTCGAAGAATTAATCTTCTGTCTCTTGACTTGTTTCTCTGTATTTTGGTGTTTTTGTTTCTTGATTCTCTAATGCCTTTCTATTTCTCTTGAAATTGATACGCTAGTGTTAAACAAGGTTGTTTTGGGATTATCTGAACCTCATGATTGAACCAGTTTCTTCAAAAATGAAGTAGCTTTATCTGGAAATATGAAAAAGGAAATTATTACTTTTTCCCATTATTTATTTGGCCTCTTTTAGGTTCTGCATATTGCTATATGGCCATTAATGGGCTTAAATATCTTCAAATTATGTCCGTGAAATTTTGTGCATTACATTATTGCCAATTTTCATTTCTATTGAATTCGACTATTCAGACTCTCTCTCTCTCTCTCTGGGTTTATCTGGCAACAATTGTCATTTCTATTGTCTGGAAATTCTCTTTCTCCGACTAATCCTTACGTTTGTCTCTCTTTTCAGCCATGGACTCTACTGATGAATTACAGAGTAAAGAAAGAAGGTGCAACCTAAAAGATCAATCAGCAGGTGGACTGGAATGTCTCCCTCAGGAAATACTCCTTGACATATTCTCAAGGCTACCCATATCGTCTGTCTTGCAATTGAAGTTTGTATGTCGAGGCTGGCGAAACTTGGCACGAGACCCACATTTCACTAAAATGCATATCTCCCACATGGCCAAGAGTAATCCATGCCTCATCTTTTACTCCAATCAGCCAATTGAAAAGCAGCTTTATTTTGTAGACTTGTATGCTCGAAGGGATAAGGAGGCCGTGGTGAAGAAAATCTATCCGCAGTTTTCAACTGTGATGCCTAAGTTTGAAGTAATAGGCTCATGTAATGGCTTGCTATGCTTATGTGACCCAGAAAATACCCATGCACTTTTTATATGCAATCCTTTCACTCGGGACTACAAGGAGCTTCCCAAGGGGCCTGAACTCAATAGAGACCACGATGTGATATTCGGATTTGGTTGCCATCCAACAACAAAAGAGTACAAGGTGATTAGGATTATTAATTATAGAAATCGATATAGAGCACCCAGGTGTTGTCGATTTGTTGGCATGCAAACAGAGGTTCAAGTCCTTACTGTAGGCGACGTTACCTGGAGAAGCCTTGGAGAATGTCCTTACCTGCTTCTTAATTGGTCATCGCCAGTCTTGGTCAATGGAAGACTTCATTGGGTAACTTGGCCAGTTAGGTATGGCCCAAAACACATGCTTGTCTCGTTTGACTTAGCAGATGAGCAATTTCGTGAGGTCCCTAGACCTGAATGTGGTGCCTTAGACATGTATCGCTATAATTTGTTTTTACTCAGAGGTTGTCTTTCAGCAGCCGTTATTCGATATTATAGACAGGTAGATATTTGGGTAATGAAGGAGTATGATGTGAAGGAGTCTTGGGTGAAGGAAATAAGGATTGGAACATATGTGCCAAGGGCATTAGAAGAAAGTATAGGTGAAAAAACTTTCGGAATACAAAAACGTTTTTCGAATGGGCCTTTCTTGAAAATATTGTGCCTTTTGGAAACTGGTGAATATTTGCTGGAGTATGAAAACAGAACCCTGGTGTCTTATGACCCGCGGAGAGAAGTATTCAATGATCTGAAGTTTCAAGGGTTGCCGGAGTCTTATGGGATAGTTGTTCATTTTGGTAGTCTTACTTCTGAGGTTTCCCTCTTTAATGTCTAACTTCTGATTCAGATTCTTTTTCCCTGTAAGTTTACTTCATGCAAGAATGAAGCGTTTCTTTCGTTCTCAGTACTATTTCTTCTTCCATTGTTGATGGTTGGTCTCCGATTGAAACAATCAATTGTAATATCGTGAATATTGGAAATCTTAAATGACATTGCAAAATTTGAATCAATGATGTTTCTTCTGCCAAAAAACCGAGTATAATTTTACTGGAATTTAGTATTATTCTCTGATTTAGATGTGATTTTCTTGAACATCTAATGTAGGACAGGGATTTTCATATAGTCCCAACTCAAAGAAATGCTTCTCTGTAAAATTGTCAATTGAAAGATAGGAGAAAAGGGTTCTTGGTAGGCTCTTTGTTTCCTTGCTTTCAGAAACCTATGAAGCAAAATCCATTATATATGTACCTGAAAAGTATCTTCATTTCTTCCAACCCAATAGAACTTGGTATTTGTGAGATCCTATAGTTGGTAGCTTCATTCTCTTCACCATTCTGAGTCTCATAAAAAGCAAAGACAGTGAGGAGCAGAAAATGTTTTCCTACTCCATCTGGACAAAAGGCAAAATACTTGTAGCTTCAGAATCAATTATCTGAAAGCAAGTATACAGAATCAATGACACAACTGGAACCAATTATCTTGAGTTCGACAATCAGTTTAGCTTCAGAATATGGGTGAAATACTTTTTAGCAAACTTTTTAAGGCTATTTTAATTTTTACTGGATGAATTTCTAAATTTATATATAGGTAAGTATGGAATGAGTTCACGTTCATTTTTGTAATTGTAAATCTGCACTTGTTTCAATTAAGATATAATATAAGTGTCACCTAAAATAATAACAAAAACTGAGTTCATAAAGAATTTATAAGCATTTTGAAACAATATAATATTGAAATATTTGAATAATTTTCTTAGTGCTAATGTTAGACTTTGTATTTCTATAATGCAATAAACCCCAACCTCTTTTTAGAAAATTATAACTTACTAACAATACGCAATATGGAGTTGAACTACCACATACAAATAGATAAGATATAAATCTATGCTATACAAATAAATTATTTCAAGTATCGGACATACCTTGAATTGGTATTTTATTAGATTAAGTAAAATTATTTTTACCCATATTTACATTTTACCCATGAGAGTTAGACGGGATCTCTCAACTTCTACAAAATTAGAAATAAGTTACTAAAACTTTTTCTTACTCCAACAAATATATGTATTACATTATATATATATATATATATAACTTTTACCCACATTCTATGGGTGTGTGTGTGTGTGTGTGTGTATAACTTTTTTTTTTTTTTTTAATCTCTTCTTTTGGTGGGGGTTTCATGGTTAAATGCATTTATTATTGTCGTATTGGATAAGTGTTGTACGAAGTAGACGGCAGGGTTTGAAAATGTGCATCCAGAGCGTACCGTTTTAGCTAAAGACATAAATTCATGTTTTGACTTTCACCAAATTTTATAGAAACTGCTGCCATTGTGGCAGCTTGCCAATTTATCATGGAAAAAGATCACCTTCATTTTTTAAATTATATGTTGGTATATACACTCTAATTAAACCCACCACGATTAAAATTTTAGTGTATTAAGATAAGTATGAAAAATTTACTATTCGAACAATTACAGTAAAGTTGGGAATTACCATTAAAAAGCAGAAAACCATTCGGAAATTTCAGAATCACTTCATCCTTAACCTTTGGTTTCCCACCTTTCCCTTCTTCTTTCTTTTTTTTTTTTTTCTTTTTTTTATTTGCAAGTTAGGCATTAAGGGCTTTGAGCATGAGCTCATATATTTGATAAATTGGATTATACATGCACATCAATCATATAGTTTATTTATTATTAATTATGAGTTATTATTATTATTATTATTATATAAATTTGTGAGGTTTGTTGTTTTTTAAAAGACTTCATGGTTTGAGGGTCTCTATCAGAATCAAGGTAGAGGGTGAGTTTGCACATTGAAATGGTAATGAATTCATAAAATTTTCTTTATCTGCACTGACATTTGGACGGTCCAGATTGCTCCCTCAATCGATTTTCTTTTTCCTCAAACTGACAAATTATGTTTTCTAAACACAATTATTCAATGTTGGATCCCGTCAACCACCATTTCCTTGTGCTTTCCGTCTCCTTTTTTCTTCTTCCTCTTCTTCTTCATTATTATTAGCTTCATCCTCATCAAACCCTTTTTTTTTTCTTTCCCTTTACATGCTTTCCCATCTGCGACATCTGCTTTAATTCTGTTAAAGACCCCCTCTAGCTAGCCATGGATTCATATATGGAAAAACCTGGAAAAAGAATGAGGAGTAATGATAAGGTTGAAGACGACGATGGATCATCAAGTAGAGCAACGGGAATGGAGCTCTTACCTCCTGATATCCTCGTTGACATCCTTTCAAGATTACCCATCACCTCTTTAATGCAATTCAAGTTTGTTTGCAGAGCATGGAATTCCTTGGCGCACGACCCTCTTCTTCTTCAAACCCAGCTTTCCTCTAAACCTTCAAGAAACCCATGTCTCATCCTCCACTGTGACTCTCCTCTCCGCACCCAGCTCTACTTTGTCGATTTATCTGTCCCCGACTACCACGACGAGAAGGTCAAAAGGTTCAACACGCCGTTCCAGGCCGCCATGCCGGAGTTCAACGTGGTTGGTTCATGCTATGGATTGCTTTGCTTGTCTGATTTATTCTTCAACGACCCCATTTACATATACAATCCTTTCACAAGCGATTATATAAAGCTTCCCGAGTCTGCAAATTACCATGATCAAGAAGTGGTGTTTGGATTTGGGTTCCATCCTGTAACGAAACAGTACAAGGTTGTCAAGATTGTGTATTACAGAAATGGCCATCAGCGTTCACGCAGAGTGTTTTATCCGCAATCTGAGGTTCAGATTTTCACACTGGGAACCTCGGCATGGAGAACTTTAGGCAAAGTACCGCACCGGCTAGTACGGTCGCCGTCTGAAGCGTTAATCAATGGCAGACTCCATTGGGTCACCCGGCCTCGCCGATACCATCCTGCCCGCCGGATCATTTCGTTTGACTTGGCAGACGAGCAGTTCAGGGAGGTCCCGAAACCTGACTCCGGCGGACTAAACAGATGTAACTTTCATCCTGCGGTGATCAGAGAGTGTCTTGCCGCAGCTGTCTACGGCAGCTATGGGAAAATGGAGGTGTGGGTGATGAAGGAATATAACGTGAAGGAGTCTTGGATGAAGCAGTTCAGCATTGGAGCTTACATGCCCAAGAGACTGAAGCAGAATCTGGAGAGACCCTTCAAGAACTGGAAGAACGCAGTGAAGGGGAGTCCTGTTAGAATTCTGTGCGAGTTGGAGAATAGTGAGATCTTGTTGGAGTACAAGAACAGAGTTGTGGTTTCTTACGATCCAAACAGGGACAAGTTCAGAGATGTCATGTTTCAGGGAATTCCAAGTTTCTTCTCCTCTGTTGTTCATGTTGCAGGTTTCAATTGGATTGACAAAAGCGGAGATGCCTCATGTGCAGAAACTTGAAGATCAAAATGGATTGATTCTTGCTTAGTGAGTTTGCTGACTTTCACTGAAATAAAATGAAAGTTTCTTTCATTTAGCTGCTTGATATTTGCACTTACAGATTCTAATATTCTCTTTATTTACATTGTATTCTTATTCTTGTTCTTATTGGGTGTCAATTTAAGCAAAATATGACTTTGTTATATGAGTACCCATAAATGGTATATCATCAAATGAAAGGGAAAACTATTTTTTTTTTATTTTGAGCAAAAAACAATCATGGGGCCTTAAAGCTTATTAGGAAAACCTTTCACATTCTATCATTTCATGACTCTCTTGAGATTAAAAACTGTAAAGACCTCCCATGTTTATGGGGTGGCAATAGGATCCATTGATGGCACCCACTAGCAAATTGATGATAATGATTTAATTATTTGATGAGGCAACAACCCAAATGACAGAAAACAAAAAATTATTTAGAAACGAAGATCCCTCTTAGCCATGCTATTCCACTAAAACAAAGTTGCAATTAGGAAAATCCTCATGGTCCCTAGCGTAAACGACGCATGTGGAAAGATTCCCCTAAAACAAAATTCTTTCATTTGAAAATCCTATTTCAAATTAAAGAGATCTACCGATTATTTATTTATTTTGCTATTTTTATAGATGGGTCTTCCAATTTAATCGTCTTTTATTCCCACTGCTTTTACACTCCCTTTATTTATAATCTGACTTTACTTCTTTTGTTTCGCCTTTATGTTGGTTAGTATCTGCCATGTGATTTTAAGATTCAAGCTTTTTCATTTCCATGAAAAAGCTTCTTGTTTTTTTCAATAAAATGAATTGAGTGTTACAATTGTCCAGTAACGCATATATATGCATGAGACGTCAATAATACTCGACGGTTTCAGTTCATTAGATTTAAGACATTGCCAAGAAGTAAACTTTCCTTCTAAATAAATTCTCACATATAACATTTTGTACCAAATTTTCAGGAACTTAAATGGCATACCCATCAGAGATTAAATAGTTAAGGTAGCAGTAATCAATATATATATATATATATATATATATTATGGGGTTACCTGGTCTTGATTTACCAGTTAAAACTGCAAGAACTGCATATAAGTTTTCTGGGTCTTTCGGCTAGAAATTGAACACAAGAGAGTAGGCATACAAAATATATATTAATACAATTAAACGGATGGATCATGTATTCCTAGTGATCCCTTTCTTCTTCTTATTCTTCTTGCTCTCTTTTAACCACATATTTCAGGCATCGGACTCCATTAGCGAGTTTAAGAAATAGGTGGGCAAGCAGAAGGTAAGGCAATGAAGAGAAATGGAGGAGGAAAATAGGGAATTGAAGAAGAAACCTGAGAAAGAGGCGGTGATGAAAGGGGTTTAAGGATGAACAAAAAGTGCTGCAAATACCAGAGACGGAGAGAGTAAGTGGCAGATATGAGCAGCTGGGTTGAATAATAATACATTATTCAACCGCTAAAGATGTGGGGAGAGAATTAGTGTGTCTGTTATCCATCTATTCTTTTTTATTTCTCTTGGGTCCCTGAGAAATGATGCTAATAAACATTATATTACCCAGTTGATTTAGCAAAAAGCTAGGCCCAGAACCCAGTATTGGTCCGAACAATGGCTCCTGATTTAAGCCCCATATTGTAACAGAGAGGTGCAGAAATTTTATTATGTTGGTTGGTTCTTTATAAATTTCTTCTGCGAAAGAGAAAGACCCAATTGGGTGAAGAAGTAGAGGAAATATAAAATTAAAAAATATAAAGAAAGCGGAAAGTAGTTTATTTATTATTATTTGTACCAAACATAGATGCAGCAAACGAAAGGTTAATATTAAAGAAGAAAAGCAAAAGTTGGATTCAGATGAGATGGCATGCAAGAGCTGGTCTGGGTGGGCTCATCTCATCCTCCTCACTACTCTTTATTACAAATACTAGACACGATCCAAAATACGACACACAGATTCTACCCCTTACTCGCTTTTGCTTTCAACTGCACCTTCTCCCTCTGTCTCAACTTTCTTCTCTTCTTCCTTATCACTCTTCTCTTCTTTCGGTGCTTCAACTTCTGCTTCTGCTACTGTTTCTGCTTCTACTACTGTTTCTGCTTCGGCTGCTACTGCTTCTACTGCTGCTACTGCTTCTGCTTCGGCTGCCTCAACAACAGCAGGCGCTTCTGTAGTCTTTTTTGTCTCGTCAACAGCTTTCTCGGTGGTTTCTGTTGTCTCTTCTTCCGTAACAGTCTCTTCACTCGCTTCAGCGACAGTTGCAGACTCCGGAGTTTCTTTGGTCTCTTCCTCTACTTGTTTTGCCTCCTTCGTCTCGGCTTCAGCTGGAGCTTCAGCTTCTGGAGCCACGGTGTCAACACTCTCCTTTACCTTCTCGGTTACTGACTCCGTTTCAACCTTCGCTGGTTCCTCAACTCTCTCCTCTGCTAGTGCACTTTGTACTGACACAACCTGATAATCACAAAATGTTTAATACACATCCGTATCAACTTAGTTTCTTAAACCATCTTTACTTGTAAAAATACGAGATGGGTTAGACTCCTAATGACTTGAAACACAAAATTCATCCGGCCATCATGATGTTTCATATGCTAAAAAATTAGTACATGTAAATCAATGTATGTTAGTGATAGTTTATAAGTTGATGAAGATCATCCGTGCACTAACACAAGAGTGGAAGAGAGAATCAAATACCTCAGCAGTAGCCATTCTGAAACTCGTAGAAGAAAGAAGTAGTAATGAAGGATGAAGAAAGCAGAGGAGAATGGTGGATTGATGAAGAGATGAGGGATGAGAGTGATTTATATATACAAGTGAAGTGGGCTGAACTTAATGAGAGAGAGAGAGAGATTAAAAAGAGAGAGAACACGAGGAAGAATCTTGAGATTTGACACCTCATCTTACTAGCTCCAAATAGAAATTCGTCATCCCTCCTGCCAATTAACGTGCACCAAGATAATTATTTATTAATTAATGTAAAAATTTTCCTTTTTCTTTGTTAAAAAATTGTAACTATGTTATTTAATTAAATACTGTACATAATTTTTGAATAGTTATATAATACTCATAATAGTTATTCAAATTAGTTGAATAATGTGCTTTGGATTGAAGGTAGAATAAATGTCTGTAATTTTAATTGAAAAATGGAAGGTAGGGCATTATCGTTGTGGTTATAGTGTGTGTGCTTTGTGCAGTCGGCCTTGTAGGTGACCTCCCCCATCATCCCACTCACGTTCACCATTTCCTGTTTCTTTTACCTTCTTCCCCTCTCAATCAATTATATACATATGTACCTCATTAACTTCTTTGTTTGGTACAATACTAACTTAATTACCAACTATTTCACCTATTCATTTCATTTTGTAATCACATTTACTCTACCGAACCAAAAAAAAAAAAAAAACAATCACTAATGAATCATTTATTAGCTCAAAGATTTTTTTAAAAAATAAATCATCTATTTAATCTCTTTTATTGTTGGAGATCACATTAAACACATAACTAATTACTCTAATTTGTGCGAAATAATTTAATCTTTCAAATTTTCTCTTTTGTCAAAATATAATAGGGTAAGTGCTTATGTTAAATTTTTTGAATAATTAATATATAAAAGAAATTGAGGTTTTACTTTGACAATTTCTAATTAATTATTTCATTTAACACTTGAGTTTTAAAAAAATAAGTCCCAATTAAAAAGATTCCATTAAGTACATCATATATATATATATATATATTAATTCACATGTCTGTAAAATGAAGTACATAATATTATTTTTACAGATTTAGTTTAATCGCTTCTATATATATATATATATATATGTGTGTGTAGAAGAAACTTTGCTATAGTTAAGTGAATGTAACTGATCTACAACTGAATATTATTTATTTTTCTAAAATATTCTTTAATAATTTATTGATCAATTTTTGTATACAATTTTATTGATTAATCAAGTTAATTATAATTAATATGTGCGTACAAGTTAATTAATTGAATAATCATGCGCATACAATAATCTGCCAAAAAAAATGTACAAATTTTTCTGACTATATTAAAGGAAGCATTTTTTCTTGATATTGATGTGAAATTTAAAAAAGTCGTCAATACGGTGGGAGATTTCTGGTTTAAAGCTAAGTAATATAATTAATTAACGTACCGTAATTTATCAGGCACTACGCAGCCAAGATTGAAACGCAGGCCTTCAAAACCAAATAAAGGGAAGGCGGGGCATGGATTGTGGGTCCCAATGAATTACAAGGAGAAAAGAATAAAAACTCTGACGTGGCTGGTGATGTGGCCCTCTAGTGAAACTTTTGACACTTTTCTAGGGAACAGCCTGTCCATTTCTGATCATCGCCTCGTTCAGGACCCCACCGAATATACGTTCAAGGGACATGCTTCGTGGGACCCACTCCGTTTGCTTAGCTGGATTACCATTGTATTTTGTTAAACAAATAGAAGAAAATTCCAAGGCAAATTATCATGTTGATACAAACTTTTTTTTTTTTTTAAAAAAAAATATATATATATATATAATTTATAGAATATATGTAATTTAATTAAAAGATAAAATTTTAAGAGGACAATTATTTTTGGATTCCGGGGCACATGAAAGGCTAATTGAAAACTTAGCAGGCAGGCACTTGATCTTTCCCCCCCACATCCGTCTGTGCTCTCTCACCCATGATTGTTGTCCCCTTCTCTTTCTTCGGTTGTTTGGGCGGTGGAAATGGGTCCCACCGGTACAGCAGCCTGCTCCTGGCCCCACCCTCGTGCCCTAGCAGTTGATTGTAGCCAATAGAAATAGTCCGCGTGCCAGCACGGCCACCGTCCACCTCAAGTCTGATGCTGCTGTGATTGAAAAGATGTGGTTTGACGGATGTCCAATGAATTTTTTGTGGGATGTCAAATCTCATTCTTTCGGCGCTCTACTTGATTATTGCCCACCAATTTTAGGTTTCTTTTTATTTTAAACACAAAATTAACTTAATATTTTTTTTTTTTCAAATAAAACCATTGTTTCGGTAGTGTAATAATGTGTATATTATATTTACTATTTTATGTAATTGAATGAGTTGAAAATCTTAAATTTTTATTTTGATTAGATAATATTCTCCGTCTAATCAAGAGTCATGCGTTGATAAATAAATTAATATAATAAAAATGTAGCAAATTGAAATTTAAGAACATAAAATAAAAAACAATAAATTCTCCTGGTACGTCTCCTTCTTCTCTTCCCCTCATCATCTGCAAGCTTCCGTTGAGACAGATTTTGTTTTGCTTAAAATCTTTCTTCATTTTTAAAGCTTCCTTTCTAATTTCGATAACATAATTATATCTGTGGGGTGGGGGGGTTATGCAAATTCCATCAATGTGCTTTAACAGCACTGCTGCATAGAAGTTTGAAGATGACGATCAACTAAAGAGTTTATTTAATACTTTATAAAACAAGACGTTTAATTTTGTATTTCATTCAATTGAATATTTGACATTTTTAAATTATTTTTTTACCAACAATTTTTTACAGTATTAAAAATATATTGTAACGTAACTTGCCACGTGAATATGGCCCCATTAATGTGTCGCACATCATGCTATATTATCTTATAGCTAATCCGACCAATTCAAAAAAATGTGGGCCCATATCTAAATTCAAGTATTTATCTTCAAAACATTTTTGAATTCCTGGGCCTAACTCCAATTAATTGGGCTTTCAATTGGGCTATTTTTTAATATTTTATTAATAAAATATTCAATTTATGTATGTATCATAATTAATGAGGGAATGAATGCAAGTGATGGTTTACTCCAGATTTGGCAACTTTTTGTCCTTCCCTCCCACCACCAAAATCAAATATCACATTCCCAATTCAGAAATTACCGTTAAAAGTGGGACCACCACTCCCCCCCCCCCCCCCCAAAATATCACTTTTCTTATTTGATCTTTCTTATCTCATTTTAAAATCTTTTTTTTTCAATTAAAATAATAAAATACATAAGTTTAATACCAGAATCCTGATGTTTTATAATTAAAATAATTTAATTATAAAAAAATTAAAATTTTAATGTATAAATCAACGTTAGTTTATTTCTATAAAAAAAATCAATTCACTTATTATTATTATTATTATTAGTTGGTTTATTGTTAAAATATTGTTTATAATTAGAGTTGGTGTTGCACGTCGTGTCAACGCATCTCACATATCTCTCGGATCACCACATGACCCATTCCCATTACATGCCATCCGCTCTCAATTATTAAATTAATTTTAACTAATTGAAAAATTAAAACTTGGAAAGAATAAAATATATATATATATATTTCTCAAAGTTAACTACCCTTCTCTCTCTCTCTTCATCTTCGTTGGAGATTTCCAACAACCATTCACCACAAAAAGTGCCAATCAGACAAATTCTCCCCTCTCTTATTCTTATATTCTCTCTTTCCTCCTCCTTTTGTCCTTTCGCTTCTATTTCCCCACACCCGACACTTCTAATCTTTTTCTTTTCTTTCAAAAATCCTTTCACTCAAATTCTTCTTCCAATCCATTTTCTACCTCGTTTTTCTTCACCTTAAACATTAATTTCGTTTTCAACGTTTTTTCTCTGGTGGGTTCTTCTTTTCTTGTTTGCCCTTTTAAAGTTTCTTTGTTTTTTTTGGGTTGATGAATTGAGGTCTTTCGGTTGTTGGAGCTGTACCGAGTTCCAGTGAAATGGGGTTTGACGAAAACAAGGAAGGAGGTGAAGAGAACACGTCTAAGCCAATGCCACATCACCATGAGACTACGGATGATGAAGCGGCGGCAGGAGAGGATTTGGGAAGGCAGATGAGCGAAACTTCTTTGTATGCTACTGAGGAAGAGGAAGATGATGAAGGTGGTCTTTCCAACAAGATACAATTGGGTCCTCAGTGCACTCTCAAGGAACATCTTGAGAAAGATAAGGTTTGTTCATTTCCTTCCCCCCCCCCCCCC